ACAAGTAAAAAAAAAATAGAAAGAGACAAGAATATATAAATAAACAAAAGAAACAAAAGTAAGAAAATTTTCATGTGATTTGATTCAATGTGAAAAAGAGAAAAAAAGAAAGAAACAAAGAAAAAAAACAAAAACAATAAAATACAAAAGAAGTATGTAAAAGAAAAGATATAAAGACAGAATAATAAATAAAAAAAAATAAAAAAAAAACTAAGAAAAAGGATATAAATTTTCATGTGATGTGATTCAATGTGAAAAAGAAAAGAAAAGAAAGAAAAAAAGAAGAAAGGAGGGAAGGGATTACGAAAGAAACGAAACTGGAATCTCAAAGGATCCTCTTCCACTTGCTAAGGAAAAACTTTTCGGATCGAGGTTACTCACTTTTTTTACATTAGGATTTTCCTACGTCAAGGTAGAAACCAGTCATGAGAAAGAAAGAGAGAGAGAAAGAAAAAGAAAATCGACGTTCGTAGAAAATTTCCAAGTCGCTTCATCATCGTCCTTTCCCATCAGTCATGAAGAAAAAACGGAACGTTTCCCGCAGGATTCGCAGGATTCGTAGGACTACCGGAAAAGCTTAACCCATCCTCCTCTTTCACCCATCCCCTGTTCACCAAACTACAAGAAAGAAAAAAAAGTATTTACGTTCTGAAAGTATCACGATGAGGCGAAGGATGGATTTTTGTTAGAGAAAAATCATAAAATAGAGAAGAATGAGAAAACATGAAAGAGAAAGAGAGAAAGTAAAGGTTTTTGATAAAAAAAATAGAGATAAAAGATAAGATAAAACAGTAATGAAACGATTAAACTCTTTCTATTGTAACTTATTTGAAATACTTTTATTTTTGTTATTTTCTTCTTTGCTAACTAAAGCTGTGTTTGTGTCTTCATTTTATGAAATTCTTCAAGATTGTAATAAAGGAAGATTAAGTTTTTAAGGCAATGGTTTCAGTGGTTCAGTATTCTTTTTTTTCACATTTTTACTTACTATCATAGATTAATTTGCAATTATATTATTTAAATATTTTTTTTTTATTAAACTACAATAGTTTTATAAATTTTATATTATTCTTATATACTTTTATTTATTATAATATATATTAAATAAATTTTTTAATTTAATAAAATAATAATAATCTAAATTAATAAAAAATATGAAAATAATTATGATGAAAGTACAAATTAATTTCACAATGTTAATATACTAGTATCTTTAATAATAAATATATGATAATGAATATATGATGATGAATAAAGTTATGATAATAAAAATGTAATGAAAATTATTCTTCAGAATACAGAAATGTTCAATGTAAGAAGTAATATAAACAAAAATATATAAAATAAATAAATGAAGCAAATAGAAAATACAAAAATAATTATCATTAAGATACAAATTGATTTCACAATGTTGATACACTAATATCTTTGATAAAGTAATAATAATAAAAATGAAAAATGAAAGTTGTTCTTTAATTTAAACAAAAATTCAATTTTTAAAGTAATATAAAAATATATATAAAATAATAACTAAAACAAATAGAAACTATGAAAGTAATCATTAACAAAGTACAAATTAATTTCACAATATTGATATACTAATATCTTTGATAAGTTTATAATAATAAAAATACAATGAAAATTATTCTTCAGATTAAAAAGAAGTTCAATGTAACAAGTAATATATAAAAAAAAAAAAACTATGAAATAATAACCTAAATTAATAGAAAATATGAAAACAATTATCATCAAAGTAGAAATTAATGTTTCAATGTTAATACACTAATACCTTTATTAAAATTATAATAATAAAAATGCAATAAAAATTATTCTTCAAATTAAACAAACATATTTAATCCAATAAATAACCAAAGTATTTAAAATTAAATAAATTAAATAGAATTAATCACAAAACTTACTTTATATATTCTAAAACCAAACAAAAAGATAGAAATTTAGTTATGTCTGTATATGTGTAAACCTTTGACGTGTATTATACAGTGTCGATAGAGATAAACTTTTGAATTTTCCATTAGCAACATTGTAAGAGGTAGTAGAATGCATTTATCAGCTAAACACACAGACAAACAATATTGATCTAACTTTCTCATTCTTCTTCTTCTTATTCTTCTTCTTCATTCCCCTATTTTCATTCTCTCTTTCTCTCTCTCTCTTGTTATTGTTAGTAAAAGGAAGAATAAGCATCCCTTTTTGGTATCCAAACTTGGGACAAGCTTTCTTACCTTTTCACCATGAAATTTCTATACTCTTAAACGTCTTATATAATTCTTAAACGTAAATTAAGACAGAATAATATGAACATCAACAGATTACTATATTTCAAAGTATTAAAAGATTCCTTTCATTTTTTGTCATACCAATTTACTTGAAAAGAAGAAGAAGAAGAAGAAGAAGAAGAACTTCAATTACCTGTAAACCTCCTCTTCTTATAGGATAAATGATTTTTTACCTTAAAGAAGCAAAAAAATAAATAAAAAGAGAAAAATAAATCCAACTTGCGTCGTCTTGTAATCTTGGGGGATAAAACTCAATTGCTTCGTTTCTGAAAAGTTTAAAAAGACTAAAAAAAAAAAAGAAAATATAGAAAACAAATTAAATGTCGTTTTATTTAGTTTTATAATTTTTATTTTACATTTTAGTTTATTTCAATGAATGAAGAAATTGTTAGTAAAAATGAATACGATGTGTAATAAAGAATAAATGAATTGAAGTTAATATAAAAATGTTTTTATACGTTTCTCTTACTTTGAATTAATAACTGAGTTTTTTACATGCTTCCATTTTTTTTTAATTAATAATTCATATGTCTTTGTAATGAGTTTTCTATTATTGTTAATTAATCACTGATATTCGTCGTAATTTGTTTCTTAGTTTAAGACATAACCTCGTTAAATTCACTCATTGACAACTTCACATCTAATCCGATGCACCATCTGGTGGTTTATTTTCGCATTTCTGTCCATCCATGTATCAATGCATATTCAAGCACGCACACATAAATGTTTTCACACGTTTTCACACTAAAAAAAAATAAAATACAGTCAAAAATAATCAAATATGTATGTTTAGTATTGAATTAGGATATTTGTAACTTGAAACTTCGAAATAAAATAATTATTTTTATTTAAATTAATCATTTTTCTAAGAAATAATCTTATTTACAAATTTATTTCGTATTGATTTTAATTTTTTGTTTTGTTTTTTACACTCGTAGTAAAAAATTATTAAAATATTTAAACAAAATTTAACTCAAACATATTTTTTATCCATGTTAATTTTGGAATTTAGTTTACTATATTTGAGTATGTATTCATGTATCTTCAAAAGATGACGAACGAGAGAAAATTCCTTTCTAGTTTCTATCCCAATTTGTAGGAAAGTTAAAACAACCCCCCTTGTTCTCACCCTTTTCCCTTTAAACTCAACCTATTCCCTTTCTCACCTTCTTTGAAATTACTAGCAGCTAAATCTTGCGGTAATAACGCAATTCCATTACTATAACACCATTTTGGATGGTGTAACGGAGGTAATATAACGTTTAGTGGCACCGGTTACATTCCAGACGTATGCATTTTCTTAATAATTAATATTACGAAACGTTTAAGTGATATTTTTCATGTTTTATTAATTTATATTTGTCGTATTATTTATTTTATTTAAAATTATAAAGTATATAATTATTATTTTGTTAATAAAATATTATTATTATTATATTTAAGAATTGTCGATTAATAAATTCATTTGCTAGTAATTCCTAACCTACAAAATTGAAGAAAATTAAATTGTAATCGATTGAGATTGATATAATGAGTGCAAATTATTAAGAAAAATAAAGAAAACATTAAAATATTATATACTAAAAATTCCTAACCTAGAAAATTGAAGAAAATTAAATTGTAATGAATTGAAATTGACATAATGAATGAATATTATTAAGAAAAATAAAGAAAACTTTAAAATATTATATACTAAAAATTCCTAACCTACAAAATTGAAGAAAATTAAATTGTAATCGATTGAAATTGACATAATGAGTTCCAATTATTAAGAAAAATAAAAAAAAAACATAAAAATATTATAAAAAAAATATAAAAAATTCGATGATTAAAATAATTGAATTAAAATCATGAGAAATATAAAATATATGATTATAAATAATTGAAATGGTATAAACTTGAAACCTTTTTTAAGTTGTAAAGAAATAATAATAGTCAAAGATCTTCCGATTAAAGAAATCTTAAATGGCTGGTTCCATTATAAATGGTCCTTGGAGATTTACATTCCTTTCTACCCAGTCATTCTCGGTTATACCTTATGGCAATTTGCCTTGGCTCTTCTTCTTCTTCTTCTTCTTATTTTTTTTTTAAGAAAAGAGAGGAAAATACCAGCCGACCTTTTAACGATCAATTCGTAAAATTGCCAGAGTGGAAAGCGTTAGGGCGAGATACGGAATGTCTTTATTATGCCAATGGTCCATTGATTTCCATTGTTAGACGACCCCTTCTTCAATTCCATGGACAGACTCATGGAAACAGTTTGTCTAAAGAAAATAGCACCGATAAAATAGATTGTCATCGTTTTACGAATATCTTTATAACAATGGCAATCATGAAATAATATATTTTATTATATTTTTAAATATTTTCATTTATTATTTAATATATTATTAATAATATTATTACATAATATAATTAATTATTTTATTTTATTTATTTTTATATTATTTATTTTATTATTCTTAGATATTATAATTTAATATATAATATAATATAATAATATAATAATAATTTATTATAATTAATATATCCCATCAGTGTATTTATATCAAAATATTACTTAATTGTTAAAAATATTGAATATATTTTTATTATATTATTAAATATTGATAAAAAAAATTGAATTATGTGTAATTAAATGTAATTAATATGAAAGCCTATATTTATACAATAATTAATAAATTCTTTTTTTTTTTGTTACAGTATATGTGTAACCGTTGTCGTTCTTAATGTTCACTTCCGGTCACCACAAACACATCAAATGGCGCCATGGGTAAAAAGAGTCTTCATTCACATTCTTCCACGTTTATTGGTGATGAGAAGACCTACGTACAAATTCGATACGAATAGGTATGTAATCATTTAATTAAAAACCATCGATTTATCATCAGAAATGACAGATCCAATATAAAATGGTGTAGAAATAAAATTGAAGAGAAAACGAAAATGAAAAGAGAATGAAGAAAATTTAAAAAAAAAAAATTGACAGTAAAAAATTATACGATAAATAATAAAATTATGTTAAAAATAATATAATGAATTAAATATAAATATTAATATATACAAAATTAAATATAATAAATTAAATAATGTTAAATATAAAAATTAATTATATATATATATATATATATATATTTATAATTTTTTGTTTAAACAATACCCTTTTACAAATGACAACAAATAGAATTATAAAACTGTATTTTTCTTTCTTTTCTCATACCAAGATCTTTTCATTTCTCTTACAAGTTCCCCCCCCCCACACCTCCCCCATTTCTAAATCGCGTCGCGTTCATCATCGTCATCCTCTTTTCCGACGTTTCGTTCTCTTTGTTAGAAGAAAAAAGAAAAGAAAAGAAAAAAACCACGTAGAAAACTGTAGTAAGTAGTATTTACAGAATCCTAACCTCTTTTCTAACGATTTTCTTCTTTCTCCATTTTTTTTCTTCTTCTTTTTCTTCTACTTCTTTCTTAACCACCTGGTTTCCTTTTCCACGTCTTCAAAACCACCAATTTCTTTTTCTTCTATTTTTTTTTCTTTCTTCTTTTTTCGTCCCACAGGTACACATCTGGCAGAGTACTGATGAGAACGGTTAGAGGGAAGGAGAAAACTTGCTATTACCCTTATCATCCGTCTACTCACGATGAGTCCGAAGAACATTTTACACCTAAGAGGTTCCACAGTCGACCAACTTCCAAAGAAGATCTCTCACCTTCCAGGTAAATAACAAAGATTCATTGACAAACGTTTCTTATTTTTCATTCTTATTTCTTCTTTCGCAATTTTTTAACTTCAAGTATTAAATATGAGACCTTTGTGAGATTAATAATTGAGCCGTTTATTTTGAAAGTGACCTAACTTCATTTAAAGGTTTGCGTTTCAATACAATGAAAAATATACTAACGAGTTATACAGCTTAAGTGTATCTAAAGGGGTGTTCAATTTACAGTTCCTATTAAATTAGTGCCAATTTAAAATTACGTCTTCTAATAATATTCTTTATTCGGAATATTAGTAACCTTAAATGTTTTATTGACACTTAACATGAAGTTGAACAATAATCACATGCAACCAGAAAATAATACTTGACGAATGAAGTTAGGTCATTTTCAAAATAAACTTTTCATCATTATGTTGATTCTGTAAAAATGTAACTATTACAGTAACTAACTCGATTTTTTTAGAAAATAGAGTTAGACCATTTTCAAAATAAACGACTCAATTGTTTCGAAAGTTTGAATTTCTAAAAAGTAACCTAAAAGTAAAATGAAAATAAACGTAACATTTGACTGTAATTCTTTCCATTTTTGTTTATCTTGATTGTTCATAACTTAGAAATTAATATTACATTTTAAAATAATTGTTTTATTATTTTTTAATGACTTTAAAACATTGTTTAAATGAAACATTATAGTACGTGATCATTTTCAATGTAAGTTCGGAACAGGAATCCTATGATCGCGTGTTCACATTAATTGCAAATACCGTTACCTGTTTAAATCTATTCAGTTGGTATGTGTCAGATAGATAGTTACATATGTATATATATATACAATGTAAATACACATGTGTATATACATATATAATAGCTTAACATTACACTTGTCAGGAGATTACTATACACACATATTGGTTATACACTCGTGTATTTTCATCGGTGATTTTCAAACGCATTGTACGATTAAACAAATGTGTAAAACACAAAAAATATATAACAAATAACTCCTGCTTTTTTTTTTTATTTATTTATTTCTCTCTCTTTCTCTCACTATTTGTTTGTTTTTTCTATTTTATAGGTTAGGTAAAAAACCACTCGTATCAAAAGATTTATTTTTCACAATTTCTGTTATATATATATATATATATATATATATTTTTTTTTTCTTTTTTTTTTTTTTATAAACGATCATCGTAATTAAATTGCCATGCTATTAAACACGACCCATATGGGACGTTAAATTCAATTTCATTTCCACGTGAATTCTCTACGGCGTAAATTCGATGATATCGAAAACACGTTGCTTTATAGTGTCGAAATAAAAGTAGATTTCTTTTTTCTTTTTTTTTTATTCTCAATTTTCCAAGCTCTAAGAGAAAATCGAGCCTAGGATACCAAACGAATTCGATTAACTATGCGAATGCTATTAAATTGTAATAGTAGTAGTAATAGTAGTAGTAGTAATAGTAATCGATTGAAGGACTATTTCTATCTATCTTTATCTCTCTTTCACACTTCATTATCCTATCAATTTAACCTTTCTGTTGAAGTATCTCTCTCTATTAATTTAATTAATTTTATTTCCAATTGAAATGATTATCGTACACCTGTCCCAACCTCCCCCTCACTGTATCTGGTACAAAACAGTATTAAATTTCCTTGGTTTATTTTGAAAATAATACGTAAGTCGAGTATTCGTTTGAAAAGTTGAGGTTAGGTCTAAATTATTAGTCAAAAATAAAAATGAAAAATATATGCATTGTTTTGCTTTCTTTTTTTTTTGTATAATTATTATTCTGAGATATATACCGAGTGTTTATTTTGAATTGTTTCAAAAAAATTTGAAGTTAGAATATTAGTCAAAATAAAACTGAAAAATGTATACATATATGTTTTTATTTCTTATTTTTGTATATAAATATTATTTTGAGATATATACCGAGTGCTTATTTAGGAAATGATTGAAAAGAGATGTTGTTTAAACTCCATGTAAAAAGAAAACAACAGAAAAAAATGTGAGAAGCAACCACTTTCACTTTCACCATTCCGCGCTATTAAATAGCTTAAAAACTGGAATGAAATTGGTGATAGGATAAAAAGGGGAAGAGATAAGGGCAAAAAAAAAAAGAAATCTAGGTGTCGGATAAAATGATCGATGTTACGATAGATATATCGATTTATAAAATACGAATACGTGTAGTGGTGGTTTACCTCATCTCGTGAAAAAAAATGGGTTTTTTCCCGCCAATTTAATAATCGAATATATCCACTTTAAATTGATATTAAAGTGCATTGGTGCTAATCGATAATAATCTATTAAACTTTATTGAATAACAATATATATATGGTGTATGAAATTTATTAATTAAGCGATTATTAGATTAAACGGTAATTAATTACTTCCGGACGAGTAATATAAACGTCATCCTTCAATATAGATAATAATAACAATAATGACAATGTTATTAATAACCAATGCTAAAAATATCAATGCCTATATAATACGGAATATTTTAAAATGAAAAAAAAAAATATCATGTGGGCAGATCACCCATGTTAGAAGTGAAACCTTCGAAAAACAAAGTTTCGAGAGAAAGAGACGACTGCAGAATATCAGGAGTAGGATAATTGAAAGAAAACGTGTCCACGCTTTATAGTATGCAGTCGCACACAAACATACACATATACAACCAGGAGCGATAACTACGAAGCAGAGCATAAAGAGGAGACCGAGAATAGGAGAAACTGTATAGCTATATTCCGTCTCATTCCCTCGCAGTCTAAATCCTATGTTTGTCACTTTTTCTCTCATTATTTAGTATGGCAACCGTTTCATAGCTTCGTTACATAGCTCCGTTTCCGTTTATTTACTTTTCAGATCACTCCCATTCTAAAGAAGTTTTCACTTCAAAAAGAGGGGGTTGGGGTAAGGGTAAAAACTGATTAACAAAATCCTTTAAAATTGTTTTTTATTTTGTTGGTGAAAAGTTTAACGGACGGTGCGAGATTTGGTGGAAGCTGTCTTATTCATGGACCACCATTACCCCCATTACCAATTCGTGGCGAATGCGAGGATCTTTCTGTACCCGGTGATACAGGAATCGAGGAAGTTAAAAGTCCAGTTTTAAGAAATCCACCAGCATTTTCACATTCACGTTGTCCACCGGAAATACACAGATCGTGCCTCTGTGTACGTTTCATAGCAGAACATACAAAAATGTTGGAAGATTCTACTAAGGTAACATATATATTTTTATTTTTATTATATAATTCATTAATATATATATATATATATAGTATTGTTAAAATGAGTTTATCTTTTGTTGATACAATTAATTAATTCGTTAATATTTATTTGGTTGATTAGTAATGCATAATATGGGGGATTTTAGGGATTTTGTAGTATTATTTTGTTGATAATTTTTATCTATTTTATTAACTAGTGAATTATAATTGTATTAATACATTAATTAATTTGTTAAATAATTAATTAACATCTTAGAATATGGGATAGTTTTTATTTTTCTTTGCTAATCTAAGGATTTAATAGAAAGAGATTATCTTAGTGTTTAGGTTCTGTAATTTTTCAATAGATGGCACTGTATTAGAATTCAATATGGCTATATTCACGTCGTACATTTTTTTCAGAGTTACATGTGACAAAACTAACTTTGTTTTTTATATTTTTTCGAATATTATTATTTTATTTATTCCATACTAATTGTAGTATTATTTTGTGTGTTGTTTTAATTTACCAAATATTTACTAAGCATTATCCTATTAAATATAATATGAATCAGAAAGTAATGTCGCTTTTTAACCTTAATTTCAAACGAATAAATTTCTAACAAATTTATATTTTTAATCAATACCATAATCAATCTTTTTTCATCAAGCATGCAAATTGTTAATACCATCCCTATAAAGTCAATTTATTTTTCATTAAAATATAAAAATTGACACACACATACCTGGAAACGACATTAATTTCCGGTCCCCCTATTATATACAAAAGTAGATAAAAATAATTAATAAAATAATATTACCAAATTCTTATATTACAAGTAACTTATCAAACAAATAAAAATATTAACAAATAAATTATAATTATATTAAAAAAAAAAAAAAGAAACAAAATCTTTTTCACCAATAGAAAAAAATAACTAATTAAATGTATGACATATATATTTGCACAAAAGTAGATAAAAATTATTAATAAAATAATTACTCTACCTCCCCCCTCCCCCTCCTTCTCCCATAGCTTATTATACATTATTTATGAACCAAATAAAATATTAAAGAATCAATTAATTGCATTGATACAATCAACTAATCTTTTTCACCCATAACAGACAAGAAAGAAACAAAACAAATATGAATTATTCAACAGGTAAAAGAGGATTGGAAATACGTAGCAATGGTCCTCGACAGATTATTCCTATGGATCTTCACATTAGCAGTATTAGTTGGTACAGCGGGAATAATATTACAAGCACCAACGTTGTACGACGATCGTGTACCTATCGATAAGAAATTCAGTGAATTCGCAACTACAACGGTTGTTAAATGTCCGCCACAGTAGTCCATACCCGAGCCCTGCACCGTAGAAAAAAGTTAAAAAAAAAAAGGGCCAAAACAATGTTTAATCAATCATTTCGGTAGATCTTCCAAACCTTTTCCAAATGTATTTTTTTTTTTTTTTATCATTTCCCCAAACACAAAGTTTAATCTTTTTTTTTTTTTTATTAGGAATGTCACCGAAAAAAAAAACAACTATTGCACACACCTGAACTGTCATGGTCCTCGAAACATTTTTTTACGGCGATAGGGCTCGATATATATATATATATTCATCGTTATCGATAACGATGATTGGATAATGATTTTTTTTTGAAAAAGAAAAAAAAATCATTTAAATACCCCATGATCGAATAAACAACTTTTATCTGACTCTCTCTCTCTCTCTCTTTTTCTCTTATTCATTCGTTCATTCATTCGTAAAATTTCATTTTGTACTTTAACATTTTCACAAAAATAAAATAATTCATCATAATTCATCATATTCATCAAACATTAGTCATATATATATACAGATATATATATATAAATATATAAATATTATATTTCTATTTTATCACGTGAAAAGTACGTAAATATGATTTCAAATAAATAATTAAATAAATAAATAAATAAAATAATAAGATAATAATGAGAATGATGACAAAGAGAGGGGGATGGGGAAGAATAGGGGTAAGAAATAATTAAAAAGTATTTAAAAACTTAATTGCATTATGCATATATACGTAGGTGGGAGGGGGAGGTGCGTTCGTGTAAAGCGTGTTAATACGAAGCTGCCACTTAATTACATATATATATATATAAAACAGTAATAAATAATTTATAAATTATTATTTAATAAATTTTATTATTTATTTAAATATATTTTTTTAAATTTATTATATAATTAATTGTATCGTTTATATAAATATCTTTTATTAATTTATGATTTATTTATATATAATTAAAATTAATAAATTGTAATTTAAAACTTTATTTTAATATTTAAATACTTATTATTTATTTAAATAAATAATTATTTTATTTATAACTTATATTTATATTTAAAAAATATTACTTATAACTTTATTTATAATATATATATATTTTAAATAATATAAATTTTTTATATTAGTAAAAAAAAATAAATTTAATTTCTTAATAAATAATTTAAAAATCATTTACTTTATTAATATTATTTATTTAATTTATTAAATAATATGATAAATTATTAGATTAATTATTATTATAATTTATGCTTTATACTTGAACAAGAAACGTGTGAGTTTATTTAATTATTTAATAAAAATATATTTGTTAAAATAAAATATATATATGCATATACACGAACGTAACGCACGTAAAAATGGGGAGAAAAAAAAATAAATAATAAATAAATATAGAAAATTTAGTAAAAAAAAAATCGATAATATTGTAATAAACACACGATGATGATGATATATAAAAATTAAACATAAGTAGTTGATTAGGCTCGTTAATATCGTAATTGTACGCGAACACATAGTGGAGGATGTATAATTTAATTATTTCAAATGTATTCGATTATTCTCGTAAACGTTTAGGGACGTTAATCCGTTTGTACGAATCTATACATACATAAAATAAATAAGCAAATAATTCATTAAATACATACACATGCGATGCAAACATATATATATATATATATATATACATTTTAGTAATGTATATCGTAAAAAATACGTTTTAATAAATAAACCTCGAGAGAAGAATATTTGATTTGCATCGGACAAAAATAATTTTTTCATAAAATATGATTGATACAAATAATTTGACATTTGTTTTTTATTTTTTTAATTTATACGAATACAATGAATGTGTGTGTGTTTTTTTTTTTTTTTAACACGATGCTAATGAATTATTCTTTCGATTCTCTCGTAATTTGTAAGAAAAAAGAAAAAATAAGAAGAAGAAGAAAGAGAAAGAGAAAGAGAAATAACGAAAATTGGATACGCGCAGTTAAAGCAAATGGGCGAGGTAAAAAAAATGGAATTAGAATTAAACAAAAAAAAAAAAAAGAAAAAAAAAGAGACAAAAAAAAAGAAAAATAACCGATTTATAGTACGGTAAGAGAACAAGTAAAGCATACGAATTCTAAAGCTGATAGTTGTAGAAAAAATTGAACTAACGTAAACACTATCGTTGTTCAATACAAGTAGTATTTCGTGGTCGATGTCACAGTGAAGTCGTTCGTTGTTCATTATAATATTTTTTTTTTTTTTTTTTAGCTAATTAAACATCCACATAAGACACATACGCAAAGAGAATAAGCGCGTACGAGACGTAGAAATAACACAAAAGAAAGAAAAACAATATTAACGCGCACGTATTAATACAAATACATATATACACACAAACACACACATTTGTAGGATGAAATTAAAAATAAAAAACACGTGAACGCACACCAATGATAATACACCCCACGTATAATAATAATAATATTAATACATGCAAGGAAACATAAAAATAAAATATATATGTATAAAAGTAAAATAATTGTATCGTGAGATTTATAATATAAGTATAATAATAATAATAATATAAATAAAATAATAATAATATAATAATAATAATAATAATTGTTAGTTATGATCGATAAGTTAGAATTGACATTTATCACGTTACAGTAATGCGAATTATTTTACGCATCGTAGAATTAAAATGGCAGCTACTTATCCACCCCCACTCCTTAACTGTCTCCCACTCCTTAAGTGCCCTCCCACTTCTTAACTGACCCCCACTTATTAACTGCTCCCCACTCCTTAACTGCTCTCCCACTTCTTAACTGACCCCCACTCCTGAACTGCTCCCCACTTCATACAATTTCATTACATTTTCAGAGTTTTCAGTATCATTGACAAACATTTACATTACATTCGTAATACATTTGTAATTTTAATTCGTTATAGTATTCGAAAACTTTAGTGATGAAATTCTCATGAAAATAGGGGGTTTATGAAAACTCGAAAATGAAAATGACAGCCTACAAATTCTACGATATTTTCCAACGTATATAAACGTACATAAACGTGGTTAGTGTCAAGATGGTGATGCTAATTATTGTAAGAGAACATTTTTTTCGTGCATCTGTGTTAAACAGATGCGTTGTTAACAATTGCATTGTAAATAAAGATATAATTATATTATTAATAATAATAATTAATAATAAATTAATACGCGTTTGTTAGGACGGTCGTTATATCGATTTTCATAATTACTGCCATTAAGAGAAACATCGCCAATATTAATAAATTATAATATAAATTAATATATTAATATATATATATATATATATATATATACATATAAACACATATACATATAAGAAATGTTTTTCGTGATTCCAATTTTTTTAATAAAAATTAAAATGAAGAATTTTTTTATTTTTTTTTCGAGAGAGAGAAAGAAGAAAACAACCGGAACGAAAATCTTTTTTCTTTTGTTTCTCTCTCTCTCTCTCTCTCTCTCTCTTTTCCTGTTTTTTTTTTTTTAATTTTTGCAAAGAAAGTTTTTTTTTGTTAATCTTCATTTTATTCAATTTTTTTTTTCTATTTTCGAATCTTGCACGCGAGGTGAATAATTAATACGAAAATAAAATAAAATAAAATAAAAGAAAAAAGAAAAAAAAATGAAACAAAAAAGAAACACCTGAAAAGCTACCTGACAAAAAAAAAGTAAAAAAGAAAAAAAAAAGAAACGAATCGTCCATCGAAGAAAACAACAACTCTCGGCTAAAAATTAAAAAAAAAAAAAGTGAAATTTTGAAATCTGAGCGCTCGTTCTCTCTCTATCTCTTTCTCTCTTATTCATGCGTAAGATAAAAATTAAGGTAGAGGGGACCGGGGGATACGAATGAACTGTAAACTTCGGTATTAACATGAGGGGAGGGGAAGAAGGGGCAAGTTGAAAGGACACGGAAACCTATTGTTTTGACTTTTTATTCTACACAGTTGTAAGGATCAATCAGAAGTCATTAATAGGATCATGGCTGAAAAGTTTTGGGCCTTACACTAGTATGACTGAAAAGTTTTGGGTCTTATACGAGCAGGACTAAAAAGTTTTGGGTCTTATACGAGTAAGACTGAAAAGTTTTTGGTCTTATAGAGTAAGATTGAAAGATTTTTGGCTTTGCACAAGTAAGACTGAAAAGTTCTGAGCCTATTACAAGTAAGGTTGAAAAGTTTTGGGTCTTATAGAGTAAGATTGAAAGATTTTTGGCTTTGCACAAGTAAGACTGAAAAGTTCTGAGCCTATTACAAGTAAGGTTGAAAAGTTTTAGGTCTTATACGAGCAGGGCTAAAAAGTCTTGGGTCTTATACGTAAAGGGCTGAAAAGTTCTGGACCTTTAAACTTTTTGAGGCTTCAAAATTTTCATGTGATTTTCATTGTTCATTAAAATATGAAACATATGGAAATATTCTCTTAATTTTAGTTTGAAATTGATGAAGAATTGGGTCTTACCGTTTATACAATATATGATTCTGATAAATCTTTAAAACTGTGTAGAATTAAGGAAAAATTAGTATTCTATAAACTTGACACTCCCCTCCCCCAAATCTTGTGTAAATCGTTATAGGAATGATTATTATGAAAAAATGAAGAAGAAAAAAAAAAGAAAAAAGAAAAAAAAAGAAAAAAAGCGCACATGTTTTTTTATTACACTCGACGACGAGTAAGCATACTCTCAAGAAAAAAAAAACAAAAGAAAAAGAAAAACAATTAAGAATCGTAGATCGAAAAAATTGATCGACAACAAGATCGTTCGTAATTAAAATTTGAAATAATTCAATTGGCTGTTTAAATAAGAAAATAAATAAGAAATAACAAAAAAAGAACAAACGAAAAACAAAAGAAGGAAGAAAAAATTTCTTACTTAACGTGAAAAACGAGACATATACACATGTTGTAAAATTTACCAACACTAACACACGAAGAAAATCGTTTGAAAAATAAAGCCATGCATCTTTTTTTTGTTTTTTTTTATATATATATAGATATCAACGTAGATATTTTAGAAAGAAAAAGAAAAAGAAAAAGAAAATGTGAGATAACAAAAATGAAGGACGGAAAAGTAAAAGAAAGAGAGGGAGGATGAGGAAAAGGGTTAAGAAAAGAAAAAGATATGCAAAAATGTGGGGGGAAAAAAGAAACTAGACAGATAAATATAATAAACAAAAAAAAAAAAGTAATTAATCGTTAAAGTAAACTGTGTATGTAAATAACATGTAAATAAAACGAAACAGACAGAAAAAACGGAGAAGAACAAAAAATAATACTAATAATAATAAAAATAATTATAATAATAATAAATAATAATAATAATAATACAATAAAGTCGAGATGCTATAAACAAAAACAAAAAAAGAAAATAAAAAAACATGGTGAGAAAATTTTTTTACAATCGATCGAAATAATATCCAGGGATCATTTGCACGAAAAGAAAATTAAAAAACAAAAAAAAAAGAAAAACCAACAGCAAAACAACAACAATAAAAAAAAAAACAGGAAAGAAAACCAGAAGAAGAAAAAAAAGGATGAGAAAAAAAGGTTGGAAAAAAAATATTATTATCCCATAAAAAATATCGTTCTCATACGTAACACATACACGTTCACGCACACGTAACTCATATATAACACATATATAACATATATTACAAGGGATGATCTCGTATAGTTAATTACATAATTAATAATATTTAAATTTATAAATTAAATTATTTATAAATTAAATTATTTATAAATTTAATAATAATAAATTTATAAATAATTTTGTTTATAAATTATTTTTTACATTTTTTTTCACACACAAACCCCCACGCTTCTCTCTTTCTGTTTCTCTCTCGTTCATTTGTCGAATGCGAAAGAGAGAAAAAATCACACAACAAACATACAATACACGAACACACACAACACACACACACAGATACACATTAGTAGAATCTGACTTTCCCAAATAATAAATTAAATAATTAAATAATTAAATATGTAAAAAAGTAATAATTGTCATCACGGAATTTTTTACTGAGTGATCGATTGTGGTTGCCTTCGATTACAAGATTTTTTCATTATCAATCGCGATTGACCGTGATCAAACCATTCTCGAATATTTAGATAATAATAATAATATTAATAATAACATTAATAATAATAAAAATAATAATAATAATAATAATAATAATAATAATAATAACGATCGTAAATAGAAGAATTCACAAGAAAGGAAAAATTGAATTCCTTTTTCGAAACTCGATTTACAACTCAGCATTAGAAAAAAAATTAATAATAATAATAATACAAAATATATATGTTTATAATAATAATAATAATAAATAATAATAATATTAGTAATAATAATAATAATAATAATAAATAAAGCAGAATAATGTCGACATCTTTTTATTGAAACTTAAATGACTCAAGTTCCAACGAACGATCAAAACGCGGATGTGTTTTTGCAAATAAAAAAAAAAAAAGTAAAAAATTGAACAAATAATGAAAATAAAAAATGAATACGAAAAATGAAAATTAAGAATAAAAATTGAAAAATGACAAATGACAAAAAATTGTTCAATAATTGCATTATTCACTCAAATCATCATTTCCTTCCCATCTAACAGTATCATCACGTGATTCTGTTATAATAATTATAATAATAATAAATAAATTTAAAAAATATATAAACCGAAACGCACGAAATAAAATTGTACAGAAAACTCTAATGTTAGGAAACAAAAAAAGTGTTTTATTTAAGTTTTAAGAAATCATTATCATTGTCATAATTATTGTTTAGTAACACACAACAAATGTAAGATAAGATAACAATCTACATCGTACAAGAAAACACACAAACAGAAAAAACAAACAAAACAAAACAAACAAGATTTGCAAAGCGACACTAACGGACAATAAGATGAATGCAAGACAAGAAACAAATAAAAAAGAAAAAAAACACAAAGCTTAAAGAAAAACAAAAGAGGTTAAGTAAAACAACAAACTAACTTAACCTAACTTAACCTAACCTATACTAACAAATAAAAGAAGGAATATTAAATATATTCATAACTGAAAGAACTTACTTACTATCAAAACGTGAATGAAAATGAAAAATAAAATAATTAAACAATTAAAAAAAAATCAATTAAATGAACAAATTGACATCCGTGTTTTGATTTTTGCAACAAAAAACAAAGATGAAGATGAATGATCTCGATCGTCATTTTTACACGTCTTCGAAATGACGTGTAAAAGTTTACATAAAAAATAAATAATAAAACAACAACAACAAAAAGAAAAAAAGGGGTGGGGGAAAAGAACCGTAAAGTAAACGTAGATTTTAATAAAAGTTCCCCAACCCCACCCCTGTTCCATCTAATTAATATTTAACAAATAAATAATAATGCAAATAATAAAAATAAATTAATTAAAAATGAGAGAGAGAAACACACACACACACACACACACACACTTACTTACATACACTTACATATACACTTACAATTTACATTAGTTGAAAATGTTAGAGGACTGGAAAAAGAAAGCTCAAGATTAAGTGATAATATTATTATATAGATTTAAATATAAGATAAATAATTAATAGTAAAAATTATTGTAAAACGTAAATAGCAATATAGCACACACACACACACATACACATATTATTATATCGAAAATAAAAATTAAGGAAAAATAATAATTTACCAAATGTGTTTTTTGGTAAATGATTAATATTAACTAATAATTAATTCGCGAGGTTAATGATTTATTATTAAATATCGTTAGATAACAATTATTAACTATCGTTTTTGTTAAATATGTACCTATTTAAAAAAAAAAAAAAGAAAAAAAAACAGAAAAAAAATTAATATTAATAATAATAATAATAATAATATTATATATTAACGACTATCATTATAAGGCTACTCAATGTAAGGACGAGATTCTTGTTGCTTGGTTTTGTAATCATGCTTTGACAAAAGCATTTGGAGAATAAAACTTGTTGTCGTAGAATGTTTAATAGTTATTTATCAACAAATGTTTATCTATATATATGAATCGTTTATTTTATTTTTAAATGGTGTAAGAGTATATCGTTTTTTTTTTTTTAATAGGACATCACAATTTGTGATTGATTTAATGAACAATTTTTTTATTTATTATTTGTTAATATATTGAATTTTTCTATAAAATATATCAATGTTTAGATTAATAAAATTATTGATAAAAAAAATAGAAACATTGTGTCAGATCTGTTCTTATTAATTTATATTTTTCAATTGACCAATATTTTCCAAACCATTTGAATTTTTTTGAAATAATAATAAATAAAATTTACACCATTTTTCAAATAAACGATTCATGTATGTATATATCTTGTTCCTTTTTGTTTAAATGTTCATATTAATATTTGTTTTTATAACTTTTTCTTTTTAATTTTCTTCCTTCTCCCCGTAATAATCTCACAAGAAATGGGCACGTGATAAAAGGTGTTACCAGAAAAAAAAAGGAAAAAAAAATGTCTTATATCTCAACGTCGAGAAACTCATATTGCTACGAAACAAACAAAAAAAGTATTTTATATTAACAATTTCTTTCATTCGTCTAGAAAAAAAAAAGAATTAAATTCAATTATAAAATTTAATAAATGACTCAAATATTTATTATATTACTTTTTTATTTTTTATTAACTTTAACTTACGCTTAAACACCTGAATCATTGTTATTATTTTTCAACCATTTTCTAATGTCATCGGAATAATTGTTAATCAACGATATTGCAAAAATCGATTTAGCTTCTACCAATGCTGCAGCATATTTAATAGTTTTAATGGATTCATAATTATCTTCCCAAAAAGTATGAAGCTGTAAAATCATAAATAAATAAATATATAGAAAATAATGAAATATAATTATTAATAATTATAAATAATTATTTAATAAAAAATAAAATTGTTTATAAACGTACGTCCATGAAATCCTGTTCGTTAGTAACACCATTTTGCATTGCTAAGATGAATGATTTCATTACCTTATAATTATCATAATACCTTAAAAAACAAGCAAAACAATTTAATAATAATAAATAAAATTATTATAATATATTTGTATAAAAAAAAAAGTTGGTTTATTATTAAACCCTTTGAGGCTACGAAATTTTAGAAAATCAAATAACCCACGTTGCATTTTAATTCTGAATTTTTTTTTTTATTATAAATTGCACTAAATTGGTTTTATTAATTATTTTTTATTTGATAAAAGAATAGCATACAATAATAAATTTAATTGGAGTCTCTTTGTTATTATATAATCCTTTATGGTATTATAGAATAATTTTATAAAGTATTCCAAAAAAATTTTTGAATACTTTTATTTTGTGCCTCAAAAAGTTATAAATAAAATAACATTTAACAAAAAATATAGATGTAGGAATATATTTGAAATACCTATCAGTAATATTTTTCCAATTATTAGTAATAAATTTATAAGTTATTCTGGATGCAGTTGGATTCGTTGAAAATGATTTTAATATCATACAAATCTCATCATTATTGTATATATCATCCTGAATAATCTCATCGATGATGCTTAAATAAAAAAAATAACAACAAAAATATTATATGTGCAATTGAAATTTTTTAATTTAATATTTCTAAGAAATAATAAATATATATTTAAATTTATAATAATAATGTATTTATTATTTATAATTATGTTACTCACGATTGTAGGATTCCAGGAATTTGAAAACAACCGAAGGATGATAATAAATTATATTTTTCTTCTGCTTTCATACTACTTCTTGCTTTTTGATAAATATAATTCCATTCTTCAAGACCACCATGCTTTGCTATGGTGCAATATAATGTTCGACGAATGTACATGGGAATCCTGAAATATAATTTCATTTAGATTAATGTAATATACAATAATTAATATAATTATGTTTCAAACTCAAAAATCTTTGCACATTGGCATACTCGTTTATATAATTGCAACAACAAAAATATAAACAAAAGTATAAAGGATAATGTTAATATTTTTTAATTGAAAAATATTATGAGAATCATATATTAATTAATATTATTATAAAAATATTGAAATGCATATATTTATATATATTACGTGTGTTTGAAATTAGGATTTGTCTTCAATTGAATAAAACTTTGTTTAGCCCAATCGATGCATTTAAAATATTCGGAAATGCATGCCAATTTAATGGCGACCAATGTTAACGGTGATCCTTCCGAAATATCATTTCCAACCTCGTTGTACAATGGTGTAATAAATTTTTGCATAAATTCCTGAAAAATAAAAAACAAAACAAAAAAAGAATAAAAATTTAGGTAAATAAAATTTTATGATATTCGTAGAAAATAAAAAATAAAAATATGCTAATAAAATAATAAATTAATACAATAATACAAAATCCTAAAATCATTACAAACTTGTTTTTTTTTTTTTAATAACTAAAATTAATTATATATACACTGATTAGGTCCTATTTAATTAAAATAAAAATATAAAACTTAAATAACAAGCTCGTAAAAATAATAAATTAAAATAAAATAAAAAATAAAATATAATTCTGAATAAATAAATAAATAAATAAATGAATATAAATAATAAAATAAAATATCTGTGATAATTTAATCGTAGTTTTTACATCCTATTCTATTATACCTTTTTAATTTAACGTCGGTACCTGAAAATCTATTAAAACGGAGCTCTCGTAAAGAATGTTATTTAATTTAAAGACGTGACGAGTTAAAACGTTCCACGTTGCGTAATGTCTTTCCTTCATTTGCATATATTTAATAAACCCAAAAGCTGTCTCGTATTTCGAAAAGCCAACTGCTGCCAACGCAAATACGTCATCAACGAGGGATGCTCTTGTATCCGTTGGAAAATCTTCAGGATTTTTTTCCAAACTCATTGACAAGTGTTGCCAATTTTTTTCATCATAATTCACACGGTAGTAACCTTTTTTTTATTTAAAAAAAAAAACAAAACAAAACAAACATTATAATTATAATGTAATATAATATAAATAAAATATGTAATATAATATACAAATATTAACATGATAATGTAATTTATAAATAATAAATTATTTTAAATATTTATTATATATTTAATATAATAATTAATATATAATAATATATACCTAATATATAATAATTATATATTAAATTATTTATTATATATTTAATTTTACTGTAATTAATTAATATATAATTAATTAAATATTACATAAGCTTCACTTATAAATAATAAATTACTAATATATTAAATTTGATTAATTATATATTTAATTTTATTATAATTAATTAAATATTATAATATAATGATTAATTAAATATATTAAATAATAATTATTAATATATTTAATTTAGGTAATTATATTTTTTATATAATAAATATATTAAATTTCTAGTATTATAATAATAAGAGATCAATCAAAAAAACAATCCAACGAACGAGCAGATGGTCACCCATCCATTTACTGAACCGTAACTAGACCTGCTTGACTTTGTTGATCGTTGGGAAACCAACAACTAAACGTAACCAGACCCTTGATCATTATATAATAAATATATTATATATTTAATTTTATTATAATTAATTGATATTAAATTAATTAAATATAAATATAGTAAAATATAAAATTATGATTACTATTATAATTAAAATCAATTAAATCATAATTTTGTGATCCTAATTATTATGAAATAATAATATAATAATTACCGGTTTTATTGACGTTTACTAAAATCCAATCGATTTGATTTTGTTTATTATTTATTGTACTAATATTTCGAATAATTTGTTCTTTATCATTTTGAAGTAACCACATTTTTTTTGGATTAGACCAATCGTCATTAACTGAGAGATAAGTTAATGGTATATCCCATAAATCAGTGTTTTTATCTTTCGTTGGTTCATCATAAGTGAATTTTCTCTAGAAATAAAAATAAAATTATTTAAACGAGTTGGGAATGATATATATGTATAATAATGATAAAAAAATGAAATAAAAAATTACCTGACTGACTGTGGCAGATTTTTCTTTGTAATTTCGTGTAACAGTTACGACAGGATAACCACCTTGAGAAATCCAGTTGTCAATCATATTTGTCACTGATAACTTTGATGGAAAGTTTCTCGTTTCTTCGTTCATGAAATTCCAAACTTCAGCAACATCTATGCTTCCGTTTTGACTAAAACGAAAGTGGTGGGGAGAAAATAAAAAAACAGTATAATGAAATTCTACAAAAATATATCACAAGTTGTTGTATGTTAATATTTTTTTAGCAATATTTGAACAAATTTTACGAACAAAAATATAATATTATATTAGGTTAATAAATTTATTAATAAGTTTATTAATGAATTATCATATTGATTATTAAAAAAATAAAAAATAAATAGAAACAAGACTTTTGTTAATATTTTTTGTTTATTTAATCATTTTTTAATTGTTGTGTAAATCATTCAAAAAAGTTATGCGTATATATTTTCTTTTCCAAATATTGTTCACTGATTAATTTAATATTAACACAATCAGTCCGATACACACGTCTTTAAGTCAACGAATTACCTTATACCGCCATCCGTTAGAATCTTATCGAACTAACAGAGATAATCATGACTCATTGTTAATAAACAAATAATTCGCGATTAATAAAATAATATTGCGATTATAAATTGAGATATAAACTATCCAATCTTTCAAGTTGAATGAAAATGCACACAGTGTGCAAAATTTTATTAAAATCGGTTTAGTAGTTTAGGAGTCCATTGCGAACAAACAACGTATGACACATAATTTATATATATTAAAATGTATCCTCTATTATTTAAATACCCACCACTTCGTTAAGATGTTCTCGTAGACAATCCTAAAGGCAGTATCATTGTTTATTGCACCATGTAACATGCGAATCAAACATGCACCTATAAAAGCAGCAATCAAAAAATATAGGGGAAAAAATGTCTTATCCTTTGGACGAGGGGGGTGGGGCAGAGGGGAAAGGGGAAGATGTTAAGAAAACATTTGCTTTGTCTGACAAATACAAGAAAAAATTTCTAATAAAAATCATTTATATTATTTGCCAAAAAAAAAAAATAATGAATAATATTTTACCTCTCATGTTACGTTCATTCATTGAGATCATGCGAGGTGGATTGATAGTGATTGTAAATGGCCTTGATGAACTATAACCATCAAATTCCATAGCTTTTGTTTCAATATCAGCAACGAACGAATGAGCAAATTCCAATGACGAATCTATCTGAAAGTTAAATCTCATAAAAATGTGTCTTTTTGTTTTCAAATAATAAAATTAATGAATTTTAATTAACAATAAATATGATCAATGATTAATTCTGTTAAAGATTAATAATAATAAAAACAAAAGAATATATATAGAATAATAATATAATTAAATTTCTTGCCTTATCAATAAGCAAATGTTGAAAATACAGTAAAGATCCTTTCAATAACCATTCATTTGTCCAACTTTTAACGTTGACCATTCCACCAAGCCATTGTTCACCAAGTAAACTTATTAACGTCTTCAAAGCTTTCGTTTTAGTAACCAATGGTGATTGATCATTGGTATAAAACAATGATTTTCTTAAAAATAAAAAATATTTTTATATAAATACAAAACATAATATAACAATTAAAAATTAAATAATAATATTAATATTATAAGTACAGTATAATTTAATACAAGAAAAATGTATCATTAAAATTATTATAGATATGATATTAATTATTAATATTAATTAATTATTGATATCATAAAAATATAATATATTGTATATTTATTTGTAATGTTAATATATTAAGAAATTAATATTATATGTGTGTGTGTGTATTTATAATATTATTATAAATATAATATTAATAATATACTATAATATTTTAATATAATAATATTATATAATTTTATATAATATTTATTATAGTAAAAAATTAATATTTTAATTTATAACAATTTAATATTTATAATATTAATAATATACTATTATACTATTACTATAAAAACTAATATTATTAATAAAATATATATATATATATATATATATATATATATATATAATCAAATCATATATTTATTTAACAAAATATCATAAAAATATATTTATAAATAAATGTTAAATAAATAAATACATTAATTCATTTATATTCAACATTAGATAAATTTGAATTAATTATTTTAATTATCAATTAATAAATTAAAATATAATACTTACTTCATTGAAATTAAGCCAGGATTTCCTGACGACTCAACAATTTTCCAAGGTAAGCAAATCAAGTCTAACTTTGGTAACCAATAAGGAACAGTCAAAATGTCGGTTAAACCAATGATAATTGGTTCGAATTTGTCTAACATGTAAAAGCCAGTAGATGTCGTATTGAACTCGGCCCAAAATGTTACCAACAATGTCGAATTGACCAAAACTTGTTCGACAATTTTCAAATTACCCATTACGAATGCCAAATTGTTCGGTGTTATCAATGGTGTATCATCGAATGTATCGATCAGCCAATTATCTGAACTTAAAAGATAATCTTTGGTTTTTATTTTATTTATTTTTTTCAACAAATAAAAATAATTTTTAATTCTTTCATCGAAATAATATAAACTAATTATTATTATATAAAATAATTATAATTATTATTACTTTATTATTATTTATATTATATAATTATATATTATTGTATTTATTATATAAATACGATATAATATATTAATTAAAATATAATAAACAATACAATAAACAATATAATATAATACAATGATAATATAATAAAAATAAATAAAATAATATTAAAATAATATTATAATTAATTTATATTATTTTAAATTTATTAAATTTATATAGTTAATTAAAATTAATTTGTATATAATTATTTGTAAATATATAAAAATAATAATAATTATTATTATTATTACTTAAAAAAAAACACGAGAATCACGTTATATGAGTTAATTATACTTACTGAAAATCATCTTTCGTACTTCTCAAAGGCATATTTGATAAAACTTTCATTTCCTTGGGACGTTCAACGGTTAAAGAGAATACAGCTTTGAGGTATAACTCGTCGAAAAGTGGAAAGAGATGAGAACAGCTACCTGCTGTTTTTAATAACGTTCCCATCATACTCCTAAATCATTCAAACAATATCTTTGTGTCAGAGTTCTTTTCCTTTTTCTTCTTCTTCTTCTTTTTTTTTTTTTGACTTTGATTTTACTTGTCTCTCCTTTTTTTCTTTTTTTTTTTTTTTACTTGTCATACGCAAAACAATCTCATCTTTGATATTGAAATTTAATGAAAGTTAATTAAAATAATTCACGTTTACGTATTAATATATTTTTATGGTGTTTTTGTTTTTTAATGTAATTTAATTTTGTTAGTTAGTTTAATATGTTGAAATAAATTTTGTATACTTAAAAATGAATTTTAATCATTGCTAAACATTTTCAGATGTTAAACAAATGAGATTACTCTGGTTGTACTATGAATGAAATAAATTGTGAAGGGTTCTATCAAGATTTGTTCATACTTACATGAAACAAGAAAATATAATACTTATTCATTCTGAAAATAGATTGTATCTAATACCCATAAAAGGGTTTATAATCTCTGAATTTAATACAGAAAGGGATGAAAAAGTACTGAGCTTAACATGTACATTTTTGCTATGATTTTTGTAAGGTTGTGTCAAGATTGTTTCATACTTACATGAAACAAATGAAATTAACAATTATATATTATGAAAATATACTTTATCTAATGCCTACTAAAGGGTTAATAAGTTCTAAATTTAATACGTAAAGGGCTGGAAAAGTACTGAGACTATTATACAAACATTTGCTATGATTTTTGAAAGGTTGAGTCAAGATTGTTTCATACTTACATGAAACAAATGGAATTAACATTTATTTATTATGAAAATATACTTTATCTAATACCCATGAAAGGGTTGATAAGTTCTGAAGTTAACACTTGAAAGACTGTAATAAAATTAGAAAGAAAGGTCTCAAAAATAAAAAGGTACAACATATTGTTTTAAATATGAATATTGAGTTGTTTCAAATTACTATTTAAACAATGAAAAAAAGATTCACATTATTGAACAAGACATTAACGAACTTATGTATGAAAAATATAAACAAAAAGATATATAAATATTACACTTGAAACCTGATACTTTTTCAGCCATTTATTTATGGTAACGAAAAAAAACAAAAGAAGAGAAACAAAACAAAAATTGAACAGGTTCAGAATGAAACAAACAATTTCAACTAAATCAAATTAACGAATTTCTCAAAAAACTTACGTTTTTTCGTCGTTCATGCTCGACTCAACGTTGTAAAATACATCCATTGGAGGATTAGCTTCAAAATCTATCGTCAAAAAATAAACCCCACTTTTGAGATTAATCTTAGGATGTATCACGTGTACTTTATTGACATGATCAATCTCGTATTCTTTTATCTCAACGATTTCATCATATCTTCCTATATCATTCATAGAAAACCAGTCAGGATCTTTGATCCTAGACACTTTGTAGTCAACCAACAAAGTCCCATTTGTCGAATCTACTTTTACAGTTTCTTCTTCCATTATATAAGTTCCATTTTTCAAAGTGATATTAGAATCATTTTCAAAACTTAATATAGTTTTATTAGATTCATTATATCCTATTATAGTTGAACTATCATCAATCATAGTATCATTATCTAAAAAAAAAATAAAAATAAAAAAATCAGAAAATGTTAGGACAATTAAATTAGTTTGAAGACAACAACAAAAAATACAGAAACTCAAATTATTAATTAATATAATGTATAATATTAATATTATTAATAATATTTATAGAGTTTATCATAATACTGTAAACTATAAACTATATAAAATAAGATATATATTATTTGAATTAATAATTAGCATAATATATAATAACAATATTTTGTTATATAGTTTATAATATTACTATAAAATATAGACTATATAAAAAATAATGTGTTATAATAATATTATTATTGTTAATGCTAAATAATAAATACAAAAATTAATTAATTACAAAATATATAATTAAATACAAAAATACACCTGAAATTTAGATAATGCTGATTTATGATAAAGTTACTATAATATAATAATATATTGGAAACTATATAATAATACTAAAAAAATTATATTATTATTAATACTAAATATATATTAAATTAAATTAACAATAATAATTTAATTATATATCAAATAATTTAAATAATTGAAATAAAATAATACCTGAAGTTAGATAATCCTTATCTATGATAACGTTACTATCATTTGTTCTTTTATATCTTTTTTGATAATCCTTTAATAATATATCCTTCGAAATTAATAATTGGTATCCTGTAACATTTATATTTACAGCATTCAATGATAATTTGTTTATGTTACCAGTATCATTATATATTCGAAATTCAATAATAACTCGTCCAGGTAAAGTAACATTTGATTGATTATTATTATCCATTATCATTGGTTTAAAATTAAGCCAATATTTTAATGGACGAACGTTTGGTGAAATTGGTTTAGTTTCTTCCAATGATTCGTCATTTATCAAATTCATTTCTTCATGTATCTGTAAATATCAATTAAAAATGAGAAACAATATTAAAAAAAAAAAAAAAAAATAATTCGATCGAAAAAAAAAAAAAAAAAAATCAATCAATCAATCAATCAATTATTTTATAAACTCACTGACTCGTTTCAAAACAGAAATCAAAAATTATAAACAAAGTTATTAAAAAATTAATAAAGAAATCAATTGTTAATAAAATAAATTCAATAATAATTGTCTCGTTTATTTATTCAAATGATTAATATAAACTAAATAAATAAATAAATAATTGTTTAAACTCACTTACTCGTTTAGTTGGAATTGAATGTATGTACCAACCGATTAAACCTGATACAATTAATCCAAAAATAACTAATATCGTAAGGGTTGTTGCTTTTTTATAGGATAAAAACCAACCATCTGTTGGTCTATATTTAATCTCATCTGTTGTCATAAATTGTGCTGGTTCACCTGTAAATTGTGCCATATTTGCGGCTGAAAAATAAAAATAAACAAATACAAAAATAAAGAACAAAATGTAGAAAATTAATTATCAAAACAATTATTATAATCATTGAACCGTGTCATGCAGAAAGTTATCTGATTATTTCATTTGTATAAACAAATTATTATTGTTTAAAAAAATATAATTTGTATATTTTAATATATATATATATATATATACTGTAATATATTTTATTTTATTAACAATTCATTTATATATTCTAAAACTAATAATATATAATTATTAATTTATTTTCAATTGTTATGTAATTCATTTATTATATTGAAATTAAATGATTTATTATTAATTTATTATTTAATTAATAAATTATGAAGCTTTAAATATATATTTTTTTTTACAATAAATATATGATTATATTATTAGAAGATATATATCTGATTTTTAATACAATTTTTATTTATAGATGTATATATTTAAATTTTTATTTATATATTACCAACATTTTAGGTATATAATTTCATATAAAAAAAAAAAAGTAAACATTAAAATAAAATATAAGATACTTATCTACCAAATGTTTAATACAATTTTAATTTCTAAATTTATATATTTAATTATTTTATTTTTATTAATAAATTACCAACTTCTAAGTATACAATTTCATACAAAAAATAAAACATTATACTATTATATATATATATATATTTCTAAAGTCTGATATAATCTGTATTTTTAAAAATACAATTATATTTTTATTTATAAATTTCTATATTTAATTTTCATTATTAAATCACCAACATTTGAGTATACGAATTTTTTTACCAAAAAAAAAAAAAAAAAAAAAAGAAAGAAAAAAAGTAAACATTAAAATATATTATTAAGAGATACTAATCAACCAAATGTTTGATACAATTTTTATTTTTAGATTTATATCTTTACGCATGACTTCCGGCCAATATATTATCTTATAAATATTTAATCGTGCCAATACAATAATGACAAAAGAGTAAAAAAAAAAAGAGCCATGAAAAAAAAAGAAAAAAAAGAAAAAGTAAATAAAGGTATTATAATATATAAAACGATATTATTTATTTAGCATGAAATTTGTGTTCTTCGTGCTTACTATGACAAACGTGTCATTGAAAAGTTTCTTATCAATTAGCCATGTCGAATTCCACGTTATCGCTTTGACAGAGAGAAAAAAAAATTATGACATCATCGTGAATACAATTTTCAATCTGTTGGTTGGTTGGTTAGTTGGTTGGTTGGTTGGTTTGAGTTGAGTTGAGTTGGTCGAATGGTTAGGTAGGTAAGTATAATAAATGCACTATACGACGATAATATGCAAGAAGTAAACGAACAACATAATCGACGAACCACAACTTTCAAGGTCTCTCTCACTCAATTCTTTTTTTTTTTTTATTTTTCTTCTTCTATTAACGTTTCGCGTGTTTTTAACGAACACACATATGAGAAGTTTGCGTTTGAAACAAGTCGATAACATAACTGATAGCATAAACGATAAGTGTTTTTAGTTATTATACTATGGTTGGGTCTTTTATTTTTTTTTTTTTCAAGTATTTTGCAATTTTGTACTTTTGTCTGTCCTGTTTATCTCGTTTGATTTATTATAAACAAAATATATTATCGCGAGTAAATAATTGCAAATTTATTCGTGCATAAGGAAATGTTGATAATAATTGTGAAAAAATACAACAACAAAAAGGAAACATTTTTTAAACAAATTTGAGCATTGTATTTGATTCGAAAATATTTTATCTAATAGTAGACATATATATAATATTTTATTATATTTTTTTTTAATATATTAATTATTATTATTTGATATTTAATACTTATTAAATATAATTATTATAATAAATGTAATATTATATACATTTATATAGTATTTTATTATAATATTATATTTTATTATTATATTAATTATTATTTTATATTTAATATCTATTAAATACAGATAATATTATTTAACAGATAATATAATTTATATTTAATAATTATTAAATATATGTAAAGTTATATTGCATTTACATATAAAATATTAATTTATACTTAATAGTTATTTAATATACATATATAAACAATATTATATATTGTAATAATATAATAATTATTATTGTTTTATATTTAATAATTATTAAATACATATACTATTATATTATAATAATATATTATTATATTATTATATAAATATATTATAGTATTATGTCATATATTTAATAAATATTAATTATATATATATATATAATACTATATTGTATTAATATATTAATTATTATTATTTTATATTTAATAATTTTTAAATACATATAATAAATTTAGTATTATATGTGTATAAAAATTTATATAAAAAATAATAACAATAATAATAATAATAATTTATATAAATAAAAATAAAATTTACATATAAGTGTTTACGTTTATAACTTATACATATATTATTTATACTTACATTAATATAAAATTATATACACGTATGTAGTATTTTAGTATAATATTATACTGTATTAATATATTTATTATTTTATTATTTTATATTTAATAATAATTATTATATAAATATAATAAATTTAATATAAAAAATATAATATTATAATATACAAAATAAATATATAATATTATAATGAATATAACAATTCGTATAAAAAATTAAAGTATACGTTTATGTGTGTATGCATGTAACTGTATTTATATATAATTTATATGTTATACATAAAATTATATATGCATAATAAATTTGAAGTTTATCTTTAGAATTTTATCATCGAAGGTCTGTAAACGTCACATCGTCATACCAGTTTTTTTATATACACGGATATACATATACATAATTATATATATATACATACATATTTATATATATACATATATATATTTTTTTGTTATGTCACCGAAAACGTGATTAAAGCATAAACAAGGCTACGTCAAAGTATAAATGGTAACTTTGACCATTTATTTAATCGTTCCTTTTGTCCTTTTTTTTTTTCTTTTTTTTTCTAATAAAACTCCAAGTTTACAACATTGTTTGTTTATTGGATTTGTCAAATCGATTTATATCGTTCTTAATAAAAAAGTCTACCATACATTGATAAGGTATTGTAAATTATAATCGATCATAATAATGATTGTGTTATTGCTGATTTTCAAATGAAATTCGTGTAAAAGATTGAAGCAATGGGAAGAAATATTATTCAATAAAATGTCGATCAAATTATTTGACATGGAAATTAAATGTACAAAAAAGTATATTGATGTAATTTAAATCAAATTCTATGTAATAATTTTATCCTGTGTCTCATAATTTAATTCATTAATAAATAATAATATCAGACATAAGTATATATATATATATTAATAAAATGATTAATTTCAATGAATAATAATGAATGAATAATATAATTGTGATATTATCCTGTGTCTCAAAATTTAATTAATT